CTATCTTGCATGAGCATGCAAGCCCATGAAGCAGTATAATGTTTGTGATTTGCCAAAGAATGAGTAGGAGATGGAACCTGGGCTTCCTTCATCCAAATTCACCATTGTATTGGCACATACACACATTTTAAGTGTATATATCTTTCACCCAGAAATAGTACAGACTAAATGCGAGGCGGTAGTGGTTTCAAGGCTTTTAAAGGCTGTTCATACTGTTCAGGAGTCACGACTCCTTTACAAAAACCATGGACAGCTCCACTCCGGATATTCTTTTTAAAAAGCATTACGTATGTAGCACTAGCAAACATTTAGAGTCCAGAACCAACATCATAAAGGCCTGGGGACAGACCACAGTATTTTAGGAAGTTCAGAGTGTCTCATGAGAGGGTCCATTGATCATGAGAGTGTATATTCTTTACTCTGTTGCCTCTGGTATCTGGATTTTGGATCGCTTCAAAAACTTGACATTTCCAAGAAACTACTTGTCAATTTGTTGTCGAAGGCTTTCATGGCCAGAGTTCATTAGTTGTTGTAGATTTTCTGGGCTCTATGGCCATGGTCTTGGCATTGTAGTACCTGACATTTTGCCAGCAGCTGTGACTGGCATTCTCAGAGGTATAACACAGAAAGATGGCGTACTCTCTGTGTCAATGTAAGAAGAAACATGGTAAAGGTAATTTATATCTACTCAGGAAGGAGGGGTAGGGCTGAGTCATTATCTCAGAGTTTCCCAGGCTGTGACATGCTAATGGAGGAGCTTTCTTGAGGAGGTTCTTTTGCATATGGATTGGCTGTTGAAATTCTAATCTTATCTGTTTCAACAGCCTGGAAAATCTACAACTAACTACTTGTCAATTGAAACTAGTGAAGCTGTAGGAATTGAAACAGCTCAAGAGATAGACACAAACACTGCCAAGACATTAGGGAAAACTAGAGACATCCTGGCTACATTTATAACACTGGAAGGTAAAAGATGTGATGTTAAAGATCAAGGTGGGGTGGAAAGAAATTAATGACATGGTCACGAAATCAAGCCTTAATGATCTTCCAAACTCTGACACATAGGTGTAAGGGCATCAGTTTGGATTTTTTACTCAGAAACTAATATCCAAAACATCATACACAATTGTTGATACTGAAAATAAAGTTTAAAAACTGAAAAAACACCACATTGACAATTACTTCAGGCTTAGCCAGTTTCAATTTTGGGTGTAAGTTTTTGTGTGCCTGTACTGCACACATCTTCAGATGCATGCACACAAAAGCTTACACCTAGAATTAAACTTTGTTGGTCTTAAAGGTGCCACTGGACTCAAACTTTGCTCTGTTGCTTGAAGACCAACATGGCCACCCCACCTGAATCTGTCTTCAGGCTTAGCTGTTTTCTTTGCAAGTTCAGTGTGGACAAGAAATACCATTTTTAAACTGACATTTAACAGGTGTTGTATACAAATGTTTGATCCAAAGTTCAATGTGGACAAGAAATACCACTTTTAAACTGACATTTAACAGGTGTTGTATACAAATGTTTGATCCAGTCTATCTCATTTTATTTATTTGCAGTCAAGTCACAACCATCTTATGGTAACACCATTGAGATTTCAAGGCAAGAGACTTTTTTTAATCTTTCAATTTATTGATCGCTCAATCCTTGCAGAACTGCCAGCTCTGAGCGATTTACAGTTACTCATGAATTCACATGGGACTAACAATGATAGGGGTAAGGGAGGACAACATATATCTTTTTAATTCACACACATTTTTGCAGTCGACGGGGAGTTTGGTCAGCTGTAAGCTTCAGATGTGTTCCGGCAGCATTCTCACTCGGCATTGCTTGATGTCGTCAGCATTTTTCAGTCGCAGCGCAGCACTGCCACCGTCTGGCCGGAATGGCCCATTACAGGCTACTTTTTTGATGCTGCGTAAATCTCTCCCGGCTTTTGATCTTACGCACGGACCTTCCGCTCGTCGGCTAACACCACCCCCACCAGGGGTTTAGTGTGCCCACTAAATGGTACCCATTTTATCTACTCGCCAAAGCTTTCGAACTGCTGGGTGGACGGCGAGTTGGGGACAAGGCTGGTTGCTCACACCAGCGCGGGGCTAGAACTGACAGCAGTCCTGTTCAGCTCAGATGTTTAACCAGAGGATAAATCCCCTGTGCCACCGCTCCCCGTAAATTCAGAGGTGGTTGGCCATCGCTTGCCTCTGTGTAGCAACCCTAGACTTCCTAGGTGGGTCTCCCAATCAACTACTAACTGGGGCTGACCCTGCTTAGCTCCTAAGATCTAACCACAGCCGGCAAGCCTAGGCTATCCACGTCAAGACATCTGATGCACAGTATTGTGGAAACGGTTATTTATTTGCAGGGACAAATGGGGAAGCTGAAAGGGCCCTGGAAAGAAAGCACCACTGTGGCCCCCTGCGTGTACACCTGATCCAGTGGGTGGGGCACAGCTCTGGGGGAGGGGCTGTAGCTGAGTGCCAGAGTACCTGCTTCACATGCAGAAGATCCCCAGTTCAATCCCTGGTATCTCCACTTAAAAGGACTTACATAATAGGGGATGTGAAAGACCTCCAACAGAGACTCTAGAAAGTCAGTGCTTATCAAAGGCCTGACTCAGTAAGGCAAATTCATGTTGGGTTTTGTTTCACAATTTTCCTTCAGTCTGGAACAACATTTACACTCCCCTCACTTAAATTCTGCTCTGACGACAGGAAAACACCCACTGTGAACATTAATCACGGCAGAATTCAGGCTAACACTTTAAAAGATGCCATACCTACAGTGCAATCCTATGTAGAGTTACTGTAGTTGGACAATGGAAACCAACACTTTTGTAACCTAATAACCCCAACTGGAATTAGGACACCTATCCTGTGGCAAGCCTACAGATACTATTTCAAAACATCTTTTGAACTTCAAACAGTCTTGACGACTCTGTAACTCCAGAGGAATAGCCATGTTGGTCTGTTGTAGCAGAAATAGACATTAACCGGCAGCATTTTAAAGACTAGCATATTTTCAATCGAGCAGAAACTTTAGTGGACTATAGTTTATTTTAGCAGATACATGTCATGGTTCCTCAGTCGCTGTGCCAAAGAATAAATGGACACGTGTGACATTCCCAATACTACCATTTTTAATCTCCCAGGACACTGTTGCTGACCTAAAATTTACCACTTTCCAGCAAAAGAATTTCAAAGAGAAATTTCATCTTGAAATTGCTGAATTAGAATTTAAGAAGTCTGATGTACACAGGGTTGAGCTTGGTTTGTCTTGGGGGTACTGCTGGACTCTAGCTTCATTCTCATATCTTTTTGTTAACTCTTGCATTTATGTGCTAATTTGACACTATCCACTGATCTTACCGGCCACCTGATCCAATTTCAGCCCTACTCATGCATCTTGGCTCTGAATGGCCCCTCTTAACGGCTGCCCCCCACCAGTGTAACCTCTGAGTTAGTGTGAGCTAGCTCAGTTTTTTAGCCTCTGGCTCACACATTTTTGTTTTAGGATGGCTCCAAATCAAACTAATTTAAAATCGCTCGCTCACAACTTTAATGCCAGTGGCGCACAAAGTAGAATTTTTGCTCCCAAGACTCCACAGCTTAGAGGGAGCATTGCCCCCCACCCTCTTTTTCCCTGTAAATAACCCTTGAGATTTTGTTCCATTTATCTGAAGAAGTGTGCTTTGCACACAAAAGCTGGCATTTCGAATAAAGCTTTGTTGGTCTTAAAGGTGCCGCTGGACGCAAACTTTGCTCTGCTGCTTCAGACCAACATGGCTACCCACCTGAACACTGTTTGTTGTCATGATAAAATGGAGGGGACAAAGATGTAAGCAACCCTAAGCTCCTTGGGATAAACAGGTACTAAAAAGCAAGTTTCCACTCATTCTGATGTTCCTCTATGCAATTTGCTATGCAATTCCCATGTCACTGGACCTGCCCTGTGGAGCAAGATTTATTGCTATTTGGCTTTGGTTACAAAGGATATCGACTCAAACTTCAGTAAAAGGCCTGGTTCCCAGTTGAGCATAAACAGCAAACAGCAAAAAGAAACAGGACAGGACAAAGGGCTTCTCTCCACCTCAAGACAGTGTAGAGCCACAGACTAGGGCAGTGTGTAGGCTTCTGTCTCTCTGTGTTTGTTTTTGTTTTGGAAGCAGAAACTGCATGACCACACCTCTAACCCCATCCCAACACTTCAGAAAATGGCATGAGGTTTCCAGAAACAGCATGACCACACCTCTGACCCCATCCCAACACTAGTTGCTGGCAGTCTTGGTTAACCTAGAAGGCAGAGTATCTGACCCCACCAGAGCCCTCAATTCCACCATATATAGAAGAGCTCAATGGGGGCAGCTACTTTAATTTCAAACAGCATGCCCCAAGGAGGTTCAAGCCATACCTCCTTATATCAGCCTAATTCTAAGGTTTCTTTACATGTAATGACTTTAGGATAACACTCAAGTTTGCAGAGTGCACCTAAAAAATGGAACTGCTTCAGATAAGATGCGTCCTGGCTCAAGACAGCTTACACTTCCCTCAACTTGTTAAGTCTTTAAGGTATCTCAGTGAAGCAAACTAACATGGCGCCCCTTCGGAAATGAAAGAAAATGTAATGTGCTAATGTGACAGGCAACTTGTCGAAGAGCCCGAATGGGCTTGCAACTCTTCTGTACAGCACACGCTCAGGAAGAAATCCATTTGTCTGTCTTGTAGCACAGTATGACCTGTTCTACGAATACGTATTCCTGATGAATTCCTGATGAAGCAAATACCACTGCATTAGTTGATACCGTGTGGTTGGTACTGTTTTATTGTTCAATAATACTGATTAAAATATTTACACTCCTACATATAAATCCACAGTTTAAAACCATTCATACCTATGGCTTTTAAGTTGATTTCCCACCCCCCCCCCCCCATCTTCCAGACACAAGATCTTCCTGTAAAGGGTCAAAAAATGTTTAAATAATAAAACAGTAGCCGGATGCATTGTGTAGACACAGTGTATTTTTTTAAAATGTTTTTTCTTTTAAATATAAAATGTACCTTTCCCCTCCCTAAAAAATAAAAATCTGGAGATAAGATGCCAGTGCAACCTTTCGGCCAACTCATAACTTGCAACAGATTCAGCTGAATTATTCCTATTACGAATGGCCCTCCCCCATCCACAAAGAAAAACTGCCAGTGATAAATCCATTTCCTCTCCCCCATCTGCATTTATTTCAATGTAAAAAAACCCTGTTAGCTGACAATTGCAAGCAAGATTACAAAGCGCTGTACAGCCATATCTACATTGTCTTTGTAATTACCTTCAAAGCTTTGTGGAAGTTTAATTTCTTAGTTGTGAAAAGGCACAAGGGTTTTTGTGTGTGTGTGTTTTGTTTTGCTTTTCTGAGCCCCAAGCATTTGCACGCTCCAAATTCCAGGCTTCCAAGATAGCGGCTGCATTTAAGAACACAAGTAAGTCAAAGAGAGCGTCAACTGCAAAATATTAATGGGGGAAAGAGAAAACAATAGCCACCATTTCTAACCAGATCGCTCAACTCTCTTTAGTTAATCCATATGAATGCCGAAACCTCACAACGTTAACGCTAAACTCATATTCTGCAAGGAGGAATAGAACTTGCTCGAAAGTCTGACAGAGACAACAGCAAAACCTAATGGTACAGTCTAACAAAACTCTACAATTAAACTTCACACAAAGCTGTCCGTGTCTAGAATAAAATTTGTTCCATGGTATTTTTTTTTAATGAAAGAGGGATTTTTTTTAAAAAAAAATGAAAGTACAAGAAGAGCAATTTAACCAAATATCTTAACTTTGGTCCACCTGTCCGGTCCCCAGAGGGCATCAACGCGGGACAGCCATTCCCCACTGGTGGTGCAAAAGTCAAACAAGAAAAATAACAAAACAAAACAAAAATTAATGATTTGGTATGACATGTTTCAGACCACAAGCAACACAGTCAACGTTGTCCTAGGTTTCCACCTTCTCCTCCTGTATGTCCACTATTGGCTGAGTTTTTAAATCATCAGATTCTCCATGATCGGCTGCCGGTGCCACCATCTCGTCCACCTGCACAGGTGAGCTCCCTTCCAGTCCTCCTTGATCCACGTGTTCCGATTCTACTGGCCCGAGGTCCGCTTCCTCTATGAGCTGTGCCTGGACCTCCTCCATCTGCAACTGATTTACGTGCTCAACGTCCAGCTCCTCCATGTGCACTTCTGTCCCTGGCTCAGTCTGAATGTGCTCCACCTCCAGGTAGCTAATCTCTACCTGTTCTTGCAGCTCGGCTATCTGTTCGCCTTTCACTTGATTGTTCTCTATCAAGTCCGGGTGCACCTGCTCGACCGTCACTTGTGCCGGGTCCACCTGGACCTGAATGAGTGGCAGAACGTGGACCTGTTCCACCTGCTCAATGATGGTCATCGAGGCCACTGGGTCGCTGTCCACTGGGAGGATGTCATCGGTCACTATCCGTTCTGAAATGTGGTGGATTTCCTGCAGGTGCCTCCTCAGTTCGCTGCCTTGCATGAACCAGACGTCACAGATGGTACAGTGGTTGGGTTTGTCGCCTGTGTGTATTACCAAGTGATCTTTAAATTGGTCCCAGCTGTTAAAGACACTGTTGCAGACCTGAAAAGGATAACACGAGGCTACATTTAGGAACTTTAACCAAAATATGTTGTTGAAGGCTTTTCACGGCCGGAGTTCATTAGTTGTTGTAGATTTTCCAAGCTGTATGGCCGTGGTCTTGGCATTGTAGGATCTGACATTTTTCCAGCAGCTGTGACTACCATCCTCAGAGGTATAACTCCATCTTTCTGTGTTATACCTCTGAGGATGCCAGTCACAGCTGCTGGCGAAACGTCAGGTCCTACAATGCCAAGACCACGGTGATACAGCCCAGAAAAATCTACAACAACTAACTTTAACCAAAGTTCCATTTTCATTTCCTGACAGATCTAGACTGCTAGCTGTATTTGTCTGTGGCAGTAGAGAAGAGCAAGAGTCCAGTAGCACCTTAAAGACTAACAAAATTTGTGGCCGGGTGTATAGAAATATTGATTTCTAAAAGTCTCCTGCCTTCTCCTGTGATGTCTTTCTGATAACATGCTGTGTCTTATTTCCATTTGCAATGCCAAATGGTAAGGCCAAATGGCCGGAGCAAACTTTATAACCATGCCATATACCACATTCCTTCACACCTTTATGCCAGAGAGCCAGACAATGAGGCTCCACACACTAGGCCTCACATGAGTCTTGTCACGTATGCAATGAAGAAAGCTAGAGGTTGGGCCATCTGACTACAGGCAGGGCCTCCAAACTTCCAGCCAATCCCACAAACCTGATGTTAGCAACCATGGCAACCAACAATTGGCCACACACCCCTGCTGCTCGCGATTGGCTGATGGCCGTGGCTAATCGTGACTAGTAATTGGGGTATAATTGATTGATCCCTATGGGAGTGAGCTCTTAGCTCTCCCTTCCTCCTCTTGTCATTGTCTGTTTTATGACATCTGAAATGCTGTCTCTTGGGAAACAAAGACCTGCTTTGTGACTTGGAGCACATGGGTGTGCAAAGATGGGATTTCTCTTCAAAATCCCTTGGACTATTTTGGACTGTTGGATGTTCCTGAATTGGTAACTATGTATCTTTAATGTATAGTTAAGGCAAAGAGCCATAGGTTTTTCTTGTTTTCAGTATCCTCTAATAGTCTGTTGCTATGCTCTGTACTGAATAAAGATCCTTCTTATTTCTAATTGCTTCTGATGTTGTAACTTGAGCTCCAAGGCTAAAATCTTGTGTCTAACGCTGACCACATAAAGAGCTACCCTGTGATATTATTGTGTTAAGTCCCAGAGGCCAACTGAGAGTTTGGAATCTCGGCTCTCAAAGTTAGGTGGGGACCTTTGAAGAGATTCTGGTGGCAAACTGTTCTGAAAACCAGAGAGGGTATAGACAATCTCGTGGTTTGTTGTTTAATGCGCTGAAGATACAGGGTTCCCTCGCTTTCCTGGACTGGACTGAGTGGGTTAATCCTGTACACTGGGTATGAGCTTTCGTGAGTCACTTTAAGGTCTTTAAGGTACTACTGAACTCTTGATCTTTTCTACCTTTCCTGACAGTTATCTTCAGATCCATTTATTTGTTTAAAATGCAGGTCACCAAAAAACACAAAGTCCACACCTAGTCTTAATTCTCAGGGTTACCACTCGCTGCACCATTAGCAATAAGAGATGAGTACAAACAAATTCATTGTTATAAAAAAGTTGAAGAGCATATCCTCTCTCGTATCAGATGAACCCCATAGCCAGGTACAACGATCGACTGCACAAACTTGCACCCACTTTTCTGCGCAGCTACTCTCCATGCAACTTTTATCCTGATCGGACTGCAGGCCCCCTCTAAGGGCAGTTACTGGAGCGGAGCTGTAGGGCATTTCAAGAAGATTTTTGCACGGCAACCTGTACAGGAATACCCAGGTGGGACGCGGCAAAGACATATCGCTTCCCTAGAAGCGTCTGCTGTAAGCAGAACACTGGAAAAGGTTGCTGGGGAATGCACAGCAGGCCATCTCTAGGGAGCCCCCTCATCTCTTCCTTTTCCTACTAAATGTCTCTTCTGATGGAGGACACTGAAGGAGAAAATGGCTTGGATCTCGCCTAAGGTTCCCATGTGGGGGACAATCCCCTCCCGCTCTCCCTGGGGGTCCCCTGTCTCTCAGGAACAGCATCATTCAGGGGGGATGGGGCTATGCCACAGGAAAGGGGAATCAGTGAATCTCATTCCCCTCCCCACGAGGCCTGCAGAAATTCTACACAGACTCCAAGCCACTGCTTAGAAGCTGCAGTGGGAAAGGGGGGCACAGACTACACCCAAGATGTAAAACAAAACAAAACGAAAGGATCTTTCCTCCACAGTCTTTCCCTTCCACCAGACAGAAAAGCAAATTTATCAGTACTGGTGCATTTTGAAACAGAACTGTTTCATTTTTATTCAAATAAGAGGCATAATACTACAGTTGAAGTTGTAAGAAACTAATTAAATATGCTGGGTTTGATGTCTTGAAAAACAGTTTTCTGAAATAAAGAAAACAAGCAAACAAAACATGGTTCCAGTGACTAAGCAACCAGGAGCATAAATTGTCCAGAACAGAATGTGAACAATACTGGAGAGGGGATATTGCTAAAAGCTAATAATCTAATGATGTAGAGTTCTCATATCAAGACAGTCAAGTAACCAAGATGAATTTTTGAAGGATTGGGAAGAAGCAATAACATTTTAAGTAGGCCAGTTCTAGTACTGTCAAGGACACTTTTGCTACAATCTCCAAAGAGCTGTTCCTGCGGGGGGGGGGGGGGGGTGTCGGATGGAAGAACCCCAGATGAAATTGTAGTTGCTGTGGCAACTCTTTCCTAAAGCATTTGGCAGCCATCATATGCAAGCAGGCCACCCTCTTAAATGTCCCAGCACTGTTTGCACAAGGCCACACTTCTTTCAGTCAAATACAATACAGTTACAATGGGAAAAGCGCCGATAGGAACAAAACAAGAGGTGAAATGATTCAACTTCTATGTAGGGATATCAATGTCCCCCGTGCGCTCATGGGACTCACCACGCTCTCCTCCCTTCTTACCACCTCATCAGTGGTCCTGAATCCCATCCTCAGGCCCTCTCTTTCAAGTAAAAAGACCCCAGACCCACTGGGGCTGGTATCTTGATCACATACCTGACATTCATAAAGCTTTTTCCGCCCCTTTTTAGCACCAACGCCGGACTGGCACGCTGTCAAGTGACACTTGAGCGTGCTGTTCCGAGCAAAACGTTCGTGGCAGTTTGGGCACTCAAATGGCTTTTCACCTATCGAGGCAAACACAGGCAAACTTTAGAAAAAGCACATCGTTTCCCCCTTGGCCTCTGTGCCCTGTTTGTTGGCCCTCCAGGGCTACTGGTTGGTCACTGTGTCAAAGAGGATGCTTGGACTAAATGGACCACTGGTCTGATCCAGAAGGGCTCTTATGCTCTTAGACCACGTTTACTGAGGTAGCTAGAGGAAGGGGCACTTAAACTCTTACACATGTGCCACCCCCACCCCCCGGTCCTTCCTCTGAGCTGTTCCCCCTTCATCCAGGTCTACTTGCCATTTTCAAGCTCAGACGTAGAGGGGGAAAAAAATTAAACACACCTGGGGGTTGGGGGCAGGAAAAGACACAGCTGCTGGGGGCATTGGCAGAAGAAAATGGTCTGTTTTCCCTGCCGATTCTCCCCTACAGATGTCATGCCCCATATATCTGCCTTACAAAGAAAACACAGAATTGGTAACACATTTTAAGGCAGAAGATATACACTGGTTATGCTTTACTTTAATTATTCCTTTTATATTTCTGGTGCCAATTGAAGCCACTGGGTGACGCTGATATGTTGTATTTGGTATGTTGTATTTTTTCCCCCTCTATTGATCCTACGTGCCTTGTAAACCCCCCACCACCACCCCGAAACCACTAAGTCACCTTACACAACATGGAGAGAGACTCCTGTTCACACACTGCCTATATCCCAAATCCTCCAACAGTACTGCTGAAATGCCTCTCGGCTGTGCGCTTTGTATATTCTTTAGATATAAAACAGAATTTAAAATAGGCTAGCAACGTATCTAGCGCAAAATGTTGATGTATGAAAGTTAATCATTATTCAAAAGCACAAATACATCCAACATACTTGTATGTTTTTCTTGGAAGTTACACATTCATACGTTGATAGTAATACATGTCAGAATGCTTGAGCAGATTGACTTTTGGTTGATCCAGCAAGGCAGATCTTATGTCCTTATGTCACCGTTTTCAACGGCACAGCCACTTAACCTTCCAACCTTACAGGATGAAGACAAAGAGTTGGTTTTTATACCCTGCTTTTCTCTACTTTAAGGAGTTTCAAAGCAGCTTACAAATTTGCCTTCCCTTCCTCTCCCCACGACAGGCACCCTGTAAGGTAGGTGGGGCTGAGAGAGCTGTGACTGGCCCAAGGTCACCCAGCAGGCTTTATGGGTGGGGGGAGGAGTGGGGAATCAAACCTGGTTCTCCAGATTAGAGTCCACTGGTCTTAACCACTACACCATGCTGGCTCTCATGGATGATATGACATTAAGCTTATGCCTTAAGACTTCCTGGCCCATGCCTACTTTTTTCCAGAGCACCACAATCATTTTGATACAATAAAGCAGTCACAAGATCAGTCAATGCTCACGCAGCTTCAGAGTTCCATTTCTGAGTCAGCTCCCAGACAAATAAAAAAAACCCTAACATATCTATTTTATTTGGAAAGTGTATATGCCACCTCTCTGGAGACCTGCTTAAGGCATCTTACAACTAAAACAAAACCATTAAAAACCACAGCCATTAAAAACAAAGAAAGCTACTAAAAACAACCTGCAGCCACAACTTCCTTGATGGATTAAGGGCCAGCAACAGCCACAGCTCTGGCTTCACTTCATTAAAATGAGCGTGTGCAAGTTCTGGCTCTTCAGATGGTGCCATCTAAAAAGCCCAGTCCCACTGAAGCCAACGAGTGTAACATGCAAGACAAGGAGGAGGAGGAGGAAGAGGAGATTGGATTTATACCCCGCCCTTCACTCGGAGTCTCAGAGCGGCTTACAAACTCCTTTCCCTTCCCCTCCCCACAACAGACACCCCGTGAGGTAGGTGGGGCTGAGAGAGCTCTTTTGAAAACTGCTCTTTCAAGAACAGCTCTAGCAGAACTATGGCTTGCCCAAGGTCATCCAGCAGCTGCAAGTGGAGGAGTGGGGAATCAAACCCGTTTCTCCCAGATTAGAGTCCGCGCACACTTAACCACTACACCAAACCAAACTTGCAAAACTTGTGATCCACCAAGCTGAACAGAGCCCACCAGTCAGTTGTCCTATATGGCCAAGCAAGTTGTTTGACGGCAGGGCATACAACAACACCAAGAGGTTTACTGAGCCCATGAGAGAGGGCCACACAAATAGTGCAGGCCTGCCTTCAGTAGCTTCTGGATTACTTCCTGTGTAAATAGGTTTTTAACGCTAAGAAGATGATCCAAGATTTCTGCCATTCTTCTCTAAGGCTCTAGCAAAATATTACCAAAACGTCAGTGCGGGGAAGGGACAGCACCAGGAAGAGAGAGAGCTGGTCCATAACCAAGTGGGCAAACAAAGAAAACTGTAGTTACCTGTGTGTTTCCGCAGATGCTCTTTAAAATGGCCAAAGTGGTCAAATTGTTTATCACAGTACTGGCAGACGTGTATTTTTTTGCCCGGCCTCTGCTTCTTGTTGGCGCCACCTTCGTCAAGGTGGTAACAGGTAAGGTGCTGCTTCAATGCACTTTCTCGGAGGTACCTTTTGTTGCATAGGTCGCACTTGTAGCTCTCGGTGGAGTGCGTTTTCATGTGCTCCTTAAAGTGGTAGAACAACTTAAACGAACGGTTGCACTTTTCACAGTGGAACAGGTTGTTGACGTGAGACAGCTGCAGCTCCATGATCTCGATGCCTTCCATCTGCTTGCCCATCGGGTCGGACACGCTGTCGCATTCCTCCTGGATCTGGCTCTTCCTCTCCCCGTGGCGGAACTTGCTGGTGATATCCGCCAGAAGGGCCAACGCCGACTCATCTGAAGTCCCTGTGGTCTGAATGTACTTGATAGACTGCTCGGCGGATGCAACCTCCTCAAGTGCTTCAATGTTGTTTTCTTCCACGCCGATAGCCCCTTCCGCAATCTCCACCTCGATTTCGACCGGCTCAGACTCTGCACAGGGCAGCGTTTCTGTAATGACGTTAGAGGTCTCTGCTATCTTCCTCTTTTTAGCTTTATTGGTATCTTGTGCCTGATTTGATTCAAGTGGCAATGAATTTTCCTTGTTCCTAGGAAATCATGCATAACACAGTAAAAAAAAAGAAGATGAAAACAAAGCTTCCAGCTTTCATGCTGGTAAAAAAGGGAAGAGGCGCTGCCAAAAGAGGTTATGTCAGGGATCATGACATCTGCATGGGCATAAGCTATGTGGGACAGGGGCCCTGGTAAGATGGAGAACTGGGCAAGACTGCACAAAAAAGGTGGCTGGATCTAACCCACTGTGTTAATGGTTAAATCTAACTGTACTTATTAGCGACAAACAGAACCATGGTTAAAGCTGTTTGTGTGTGTGTGTGTGTGTGTGTAGATAGGAATCTATGATCGAGAAGGGAAAGGACCGCATAACTCTGCAGCCTGTCCCCGACTGGAAATGTTTTGGGGTACATCCATGTATGGGGTGCCTCTAACCATCTGCAGACTCAACAGACTGCAGCAGGAAGGGACCGTGGGAAAGCCTTGTTCCACAAACAGGACTTTCCCACTTTCCCTTCCTGTTGCAGTCCAAATTCCCAGAAATATTATGGGGGGGGGGGGGCGTCAACAGACCCTCAGGAAAAGCACTGGGGCAAAGTGGGGGTCTGCAGTGGGAGGCGGACAAATTGGCAGAAGTCATTGCCCCCTCTTCTGAAGACCATTCAGTCTTCAGGCCTATAGAGTTGCATGCATGCCTATATGTGTATAGTCTGTAAAATACGGAATTTCTACTAACTGGATTCTAGGCAGATTTACTTGGAATTTGGCTTCAGTGACTTTATTTTTACACTTTAGTCTCAGGCAGCAGGTTGAGGGAGCAATCCTAAGCAGGTCTACCCACAAATGAATTCCATTCATTCAGTGGGGCTGAAGCTCAATGAAACATTTATTAGGATTGCAACTGAAATCACCAGTTTCCAACCACTGGCCTACATGTTGGTACAGGGTGTGCATTCAGCATAAACTGAACCAAAAAAATACCCGAAAAATACATTATCAGTACTTTTCAGGTATTATTTAAGCTGAATACAGATCAGAGATCTGTATTTGGCTACCGGTATAGCTGAACCTGAAAAAAGCTGATTTCCCCCTGGCTTTTATTTGGGTGTATTCAGCTATATCATGAGCCAGCCCCAGCAGAGGTGGCGCAGAGCTCTCTCTTTAAACTGAGCTGCAAGAGGAGCCAGTCCAGGGGCAGCTGGGGCGGCAGGAGCTCAGAGCTGCAAGAGGAGCCAAGGCGGCATGGAGCTCTAAGCTCCTGCCGCCCTAGCCGATCCTAGGTTGGCAAGTTCAACTGGAAGGTGTTTAAAGGCATGGTGTGCCCTTTAAACGCCTTCAGAGTTCTCCAAGCCGCAGAGTTGCAGTTTGGAAAACACATTAAAGGGACAGAGATCCCTTTAAATGCCTTCCCCCCCATTGGTTTTAAAGGAGGATGGGGACAACTTCTTTGGGGGCCCACAGAATTGGACCGCCTGGTCCAATCTTTTTGAGACTTGGGGTTGTTGTGTGTTTTTTTTTAGGAGAGGCACCACTAGCTAAGCCTCCTGGCACTATGAAAAAAAATTATGTTCTCTCCTTCCTGCAGGGTAGATCACATTTGTAGGCAAATGGCAGAAGAGCATTCCAAATGCCAGTACTGAAGAGGCCCAAAATAAATCTCATTATGATGCTCAAGCAATCAGCTGATATAATCCTTTATCTCTGTGTTCATGCCTACTGAGATCTCTGCACTAGCTTCCCACCACTTCCTGCATCAACCTCAATCTCACTAATCATGTCATTTAAGGTTCTTTACCTCTGATCATCTTCCTGTTAGTTTGGCTCTCTGTGTCTGAGCATCTCGCTACCTTTTTGCTTTATTCTCTGCCGCTTCCCTCTGCCCCTTTCTTACTGAACAGGCCACCTTCTTCTTCTTGAAATCCCCCCACAAATAGGACATTACCTCTTTACCAATCCCAGATGTTTCATTAAGTTAAATATCTCCTTGTTGAGACTGCAAGTTCCTTATTCAAAGCCCAAGTCTTTCTGCATTGAGCAAAACAGTTGAGTGATAGCAGTGGTGGGCTTTCCTTTCACCACAAAGTGCACTGTGTGCCAGAACTTAATTTCTTCTAATTAAGATTTACACAGACCTAGATCTAAAAAATGGAATCATCCTAATAAAAAATCCCATGACAAGCTATTTACTTTGTAACACCCAAATCCTGTTATAATTCCTTCAAGGGGTTTTCCAGTTTGTTCTATTTGCATTTACACATAAAACACATGAAGCTGCCTTATACAGACACAGACCCGTAGTCCATCAAAGTCAGTATTGTCTACTGAAACTAGCAGCAGCTCTCCAGAGTCTCAGGTAGTGGTCCTTCACATCACCTACTGCCAGATCCTTTAACTGGAGATGCTCGGGATTGAACCTGGGACCTTCTGCATGCCAAGCAGATACTGTACCATTGAGCCACGGCCCCTCCCTAAATAACGAAGCCACTAAATCTGACCATAGGTCCATCGAGGTCAGTATTGTCTACTTATACTGGCAGCAGCTCTCCCAGGTCTCAGGCAGAGGTCTTTCACATCACCTGCTGCCAGATCTTTTAACTAGAAAATGCGGGGATTAAAAGAGAGAACATAAGAGAGACGCCAATGTTGGATCAGGCCAAAGGCCCATCCAGTCCAACACTCTGTGTCACACAGTGGCCAGAAATACCAGTGCCATCAGGAGGTCCAGCAGTGGGGCCAGGACATTAGAAGCCCTCCCACTGTTGACCCCCCCCCCAAGCACCAAGAAGACAGAGCATCACTTGCCCCAGAGCCCCTAGCTATACCTTGTGGCTAATAGCCACTGATGGACCTCTGCTCCATATGCTTATCTAATTCCCTTTTGAAGCCGTCCATGCTTGTAGCACCCACCACTTCCTGTGGCAGTGAATTCCATGTGTTAATCACTCTTTGGGTGAAGAAGTACTTCCTTTTATCCGTTCTAACCCGACTGCTCTGCAGTTTCATGGAGTGCCCACGGATTGAACCTGGAACCTTCTGCATGCCAAGCAGATGGTGTACCACTGAGCCACAGCCCCTCTATTTAGGACAGGATCATGTGGTTTTGTTTTTCCTGCAGTATTATATCAAAGATTTTTTAAAGCATTCACATGAAAATTGGACAAACCCACATTTGTGTACAAACTTACATTTTCAGAACATATATGCCTACAACAGACATAGTCAACAGTGAGCAAGCACTGACTTGAGCATACTTCAATGGCAAACTCCTACTTTGCCCCATGTCATACTAGGACATAGTAATCTTGCAGAAATCATTTAAATAGCTAATAATTTAAATGAGCTAATAATTTAAATAGCTCAGTTGGTATGCAATCATTGCAGTGCACTAAACAAACAGAACAACCACATAATTTGGAGGAAGGCTCCTTAGACAAAAGGTAACTTCTTCCAGCCTGAGTTTGGATACATGTCATTGTCTTCACAACACTGTGAAGTCAGTTCACGTTCTAGGACAGAATTATCCAAGTGGACCTCCACGGATTGTCATGGATGGTTCCCTAAATGACCTAGGAAACAGCACTCCAAAAATCTTCCTCACTCACCTGATTTCGAGGGCTTTAATGGCTTCTAACATCTGGAGGTATTCAGCTGCCTTCCAGACATCATTGGCTTCTTCTTCCCCTTGGACCATTAGCTTGGCAGTATAGGTGAACTCAATTAAGTGGCGAAATGCCATGTTACTTACACCTGTTTGAAAGCAAAAGCCTACATGAAACCTACAAGGCACAGAATCTGCCTCTTTTAAGTTTTGCATGGATAACCAGAATATTTTGCTCGCAAATATTTTTGATATTTCTTTCATAAATATTGCCTTGCTGGATCAGGTTGAAGATCCACGTTGATGGCGCACAACGTTCTCTCTCCTGTCCACCTGGATGAAGTGAGGCAATGGAAGTCCTGGGCTGGCAGATGGAGCCGTGGGCTCGATGGAAGTCAATAAACTGAAGCTCAGTCCAGATGCGACGGGGGTGTTGTTGGCTGCTTTGGGTGCCAATCAGGGAACTGGGAGAGAGCAAAAGGCAGTTCTCCAATGCAGTGCACAGCACACTTTTCAGCTTTGGCTGGTTTTCCAGCTTCTTGGAGGAACAGGATTTAGGCTAGTAACCCATGTGCTAACCATCTCCAGATTAGGTTAATACAATGTGCACTGCTGGCAAGGAGGGGACTTCAAAATGGTTCAGAAGATGCATCTGGGTCAGAAAATCGCTAGGGTCAGAGTTAGCATAGCACCCCACTTTCTAAAAGATCTTGGTTGATTTTTTCCAGAGACAATTCAAAGTGCTAGTTTTGACCTATGCCCTATATGGCCCAGGACCAGAGACTTAAAGGACAGCCTCTGCCCATACTGTCTTGCCTGAGGACTGAGCCTCAGTTTATTATACTTGAAGTATATCATGCTTTTCCCCACCAGGGGAACTCTAGGTTGCACAGGCAGGATTCCAAGGAGGTCCTCCCTCTAGGTAACAATGAGACCTAAGACCTGCTTTCAGTAAAGTTGCTGTATCATGTGGAGGAAGAGGAGGAGATGAAGGAGAGTTGGTTTTATACCCCGCTCTTCAGTACCCAAAGGAGTCTCAGAGCGACTTGCAATCTCCTTCCCTTCCTCTCCCCACAACAGACACCCGGTGAGGTAGGTGGGGCTGAGAGAACTCTGAGAGAACTGTGACTGACCCAAGGTCACCCAGCTGGCTTCGTTTGGAGAAGGAATGGGGAATCAAATCACAGCCATCCTCATGCACAGTTTATTAACCCTCATCCAGCCCATTACCAATTCCAGACAACTGTTCAGCACTTCCCTTGCTTCTCCTGGTTCAGGGGAGGAGGAGCTGCGTGTCATCAGCTTAACGACAGCATTCCAAAGAACCCAACCCACCTGCTTTCATGTGGATCTTAAACAGCACAGAGGATAAATTAAAACACTGAAGAACACAAAGGGACGAGTATCACCGAGTCAAGTAATAGTTCCTTCTAGAAACTACCTTCCAGGTAGGAACAGAACCGCTGAAGCGTGATGTCAAAAGGCTTCAAGCAGTTTAAACGAACGAGATGAATCCAGGGGACCGAACTCCCAAGAATTTTCCCCAGGGCGTGTGTCAGGGCAACTGGTACCCTTTCCGTTCCAAACCCAAGTCAGACACTGGGTCTAGATAACAAATCTCCCCTCTTCCCTCGACACTGCAGCTTACTGGAATTAGATTACCGTCACTTCCCCTCCAGTATCACCTCTGGAACATACGGCTGCTGTTGTCTGTATGGATTTCTGGAGGTCAGGGCTTATCATAAGTCCCCACATCTATCGCAATTGTCCATGGAGATTCACCTTAGTGTCTTTGTTATTTGCAAGCAGTTGCTAAGGTCCGCCCCGACATCCAATGCCTAGACCACCCCAAGCCTCCCTCTCCTCCTCAGGGCAAGAGGACACCTGCCCCTGTCCCCCAGCCCTCTGCACCACCCTCTGGCCTCCTCTCACTACAGCATCAGAGACTGCCCGGAACCCGGGGGGGACTCTCCTCTTCTGCGTGCTCATCTCCTCCGTCCTCCCTCTTTCCCCCTCCCTGTTAGGCTCGGCCACTCCATTTCCAACTCTGCTTCCGAGTTCTCTCCTTTTTGCTCCACCCACCTTCCTTTCATTTTCGACTCCTCCACTGGGGCCACTCCCCAGGCCAACCAGTCCCGCCCCTCCAGCCCCGCACTGCCTCTGCCCTTTCCGAGTGAATGAGGCAGGAGGCCACGTTCCCCCTGCACATACTTTGCCCTCTGACCAGGCTGAGGGTGCTGAGACACAGTTCTAGCCAAAGCATGATAGCCTTGACAGACCCCCTGGGCTTGACGATGACATTCTGCTGTGGAAACTGAGACCTGAGCGGACCTTTGCTGTAGCTATGGACGAGCTCTACACATGGGAGCAAACACAGACACGGGACAAACTGGAGCCTTCCTATGAGAAGGCATTAGCAGTGCTCAGCCTTGCTGCGTCAGTCACAATCAATCCATCAATTACCTTCTATCTCTACTAGAGGCTCCTGAGTGAAGTCTTGGAAGAATTTGTAGAAAAACTGGCTACAGGCAGCAAGAACAGCTTTATGAGCTTTAAAATGATGACCTGGAGAGAGGGGGGGGGGGAGAAAGAATGGGATATAAAACTTCCCATCTTTGCATTAACATATGCATTACAATCAGAATTTTTAATTTTAATAATTTTAATCTAGATCCTTATTTACTGACAAGAGGGTCCATAGTGAGTGCATATTGTCCACCATAAAAACACTAAGATGCTTTCGTATATGTAAGAAACAGCAGATATATGATGAGTCATTAGACAATCCAGAGGAGCTGGGGAGATGAAATGTGGCCAGGTTACACTTTATTTCAAGTTAGCAAAAGAACCATTTACGAACCTCCACTATTTTTATATGTGTGTTTGTGTGTGTGTATAAAAACAATAGCTATTTTTTTACTGTTTCCCTTCTTCCCTCCCAAATTACACATAGGGAGACATTCCGCCACAGCTGACCAATGTTCCCTCTAAGCTGTGGAGTCTTGTGAGCAAACATTTTACTTTGTGAGCTACTGGCATTAAAGTTGTGAGCGAGTGATTTGGCTACTGCATACATCAGTTTGCTCTTGAACCATCCTTCCTGAGCGAAGACAAAAATGTGTGAGCTAGAGGCTAAAAAACTGTGAGCTAGCTCACACTAACTCAGCTTAGAGGGAACACTGCAGCTGACTATGAACGTGGATCTGACAGAACATCTCAGACTTCCCCAAAATTCGGGCAACATGCCAAACCCAAAGAAGCTGTTTTTGAAAATATTAGCAATACCACAGAACACAAATGTACAAGAAATATTTCCATTTCATGAAGGTTGGGCGACACTTCCCCTGCAGCACTTTCTGACCCTAAAGGAACAGCTCACATTTGCTCAGCTGAAAGGCATGGTGTGGTGATCCTGCCAAACTGAACAGCTCATTTTCAATAACTATCTACGATACAACAACAAAGAATCTTGTGGCTACACACACACACACACTGTGCCGTACATTCTTGTGACGTGCGAGCACGCTTCATGAGATGCAAACGTCTGCATGCATTTGATAAAGCAGACTTTGGGTCATGAAAGATTATGCCACTTTAGGTTATACAGGTTGGATCCAAGGTTACCATTCCACCAGCATAATAGAAGCTTTGCTGGCAGAACCAGAGGCAGATGAGGGGTTGGAGATGTCTACTAGTTTTCTCCTGCCACTGCACATCCTCACTTTGTCATTCCCCCGTACTCCTGACCCCTGGGAGCAGAATTCCAGGCAGCTCAGAGAGCTACAGTAGGAATGGAGAGACAGGAAAATCAGCTGGAACGAGCTCTAAGTCCTTACAGGTCCACAATTCTCTTTATTGCTTCCACTGCAACAGACTATCACTGTTAACCCTAAGTAATTTAGTTTGGATAATAAAAACTCCATCCAGACAGGAGTATTCTCTCCTGACATCACTTCTGCATTCAAGCTTCCAAGATGGCAATCCAAAAATCGCACATGGGCCACACGGTCTGCGTACATGGGGGATCAAATATTGGGTTGGATCCAGCAAGTTCTTTTGTTAGTGAAAAAGGGAGAAAGGGAGGAGGGGATCCCTTGGACCACCCAAAATGGCTGTGCTGGGAATCAATGGACCTGCATGGACGAAAGCCACGTGTGTTGCAGTGAGCAAGATAACTGGGGGTTGAGCAAAAATGCTGACTGGATCCAACTCGCTCTCCCCATGACATGAGATTCCAAGAGCCTCTGTCTCTCCAGCCCACTATCTGAGAGCCATCTAACATACCCACTTCCTCCACTGACTGTTGTGCCAAGATAAACCCCTAAACAAAGGCAGTGGCTGAGAAGAGGTAACTCAATTATGCTAACACCCTTCAAAAGAACAACAGACGTGTTTTTATGAGATAGGGCACCACCCAGTCTAAGAGATGCATTTTCAAGTCTCCATTATTTCAGAACTAGACATTTAAATACATGCGGAACTCTGAAATCAACAGAACTTAAAAGTGCTTCACTCTGGCTGGATTGTGTCCCCTTGTTTTGGAAGGTGAGCAGAACTAAGAATGCGAAAAATAAGTTCATATTGTGAATTATCTTCCATATTTAGCAAACAGAACAATATCTGACAGGAACATGGACAACCAAGTATCTATGCTATATCACTGTACACATTTTCAAGCATATCAGTATTTGAAGCTTCCATCCTCCCTTAACTCTTTACTGGCCATCCTCATGCAATGAGAATTATAAAATATGAATCAAGGAAGTGTTGGGTGTTAGAGCTTGGTTTACTGTAATGGAGTGACAACTGGACTGTTAACACAGGCAAGCAGCAAACCAAGTTCAGTGGTCACTGCAAGGACCATTCATCTGAGAGCCACCTAGTGGCAACACAGAAGTTGGCTTTGCCAGCTGCCGCTTCTGCTTGCTACTAGTTCAGTCCAAGCCAAAAGATGGCTCCAAGCTCCACCTACTCCTTGCAAGGTCAGGGGCCAATCCACCCCTGCAACATAAGGTCTCCCCTTCCCTTAAATGCAAACACTGCCATTCATAACTGTACAAACTGCACAGCAGCAACTGATACTGATTCCCTGTTATACCACACAGCACTTTGAATTAACTGTTCTCCAGAAGTGGTATTTTCCTCTTTAATTTTAACTCTGAAGCACAGCTTATCACAGCCTGGAATTTGTGGAGCCAGGAAGTTCTTAAAAGTTCAACTTCCTTTAGGACCAATGGTTTTACTAATTCCACTTCTGATAAATAGCAGATGCTATTACGTAGTCAATACTCCAAGGGAGGAAAGAAATATTGATTTCTAGAGGTATTTTTTGTGACTTCATCAACAACGGTTTCATTTGTACTTAAGAACACAGAATAATTATGATAAATGGCCATCAATAACTATTTCATGAGTCCCAAGTGGGAAAACAGTTGTGTTCATGAGGTTTGCTATTATTTTCCTCTGTGTAAGGTAACAGAACTGATCAATTGTATCCAATAGTTTAATGAAGAACTCAGCATTTTGGCTGTAGTTTTACATTTTGCTGCAGATGTGATATGCTCCATAATACAAAAGATTAACTACAATTTAGAGCTTCATTTTTCAATGAGCTAATGATATGTATCAGAAACCAAGGAGGGAAAAATTTCATCTCTAACAACATCTCTAACAGGTTCCTGAGGCCAGACCCCACACATTTTATCTGAAAGAAAGCCCTGTTGAGTTCAATGGGACTTGACTCCTGAGTCAAGAGACAGTAACTGGTCCAAGAGCTGCAATCACTCAATTAGCTGAGTCACAAACGCCTTAGACCTTTTGCTGTGAAGACCGTCTACCAGAATTAAACCTACGAGATTTGGGCTTTATTCTTTCACACATCAAGCAATAAACAGAATACCCAGAATACCCTCTAAGTGCGTTTTACAACTTGCCTTACTACATACCATCAACAATCAGAGTGATGTCTGTGAACTGATCCTGCTCTCTCTGTTCATTCAGTCTGTCCAAAATTACTTTATAATGCTCTGGAAATTCCTGAATGCATTCCATCGTCTCTTCAGCTTCCATGGCTAATGGAGTTATCTAGGAAAAATCACCACAGAATGAGACCTCCGTAATCTTTAACCATGCAATGATAACATAAACATTAATTGGTTAGCATGAATATTTGTTGTTTTTTTGATGTAATGCCCAAATTCCAAACCATTAATTCCTTCCCCCAAAACTAAACACATTTTTTCCATTCTAGAATTGGGTCTTTCAGAGTCAACAACAATACCCACTAATAAAGTTCTTCTTAATTACTGTTTTCATAACAAAAGTAATAAACAGCAACATGAACAATGTTAAGAGACCCCACAAATGTTACATCTGCCATCTTTGAAGGAAGCTGGTTTTCTTTTTCAGGCAAATGTGAAATCCAGGCTTCAAATGTGGCTCAAAGACCATTCAAGGGAATAAGAAGCTTGTGGTGTGCATATGAAGTGGGGGGAAAGGGGAAGCAACCCCAGATGCGTAAGGATCAAAGAATCCCAGAAGAAGAAGAAAACACCAGCAGAAATTGGGACAAAAAGAGCAAGAACAGCAAACTGGTGAGAGACTGGGTTGGGAGAACCGGGGACAGGGAAATGGGGATCCACAAATTCTGGCTGGCCTTAGTAGCTCTGTGTGTGTGTGTGTGTGTGTAATTGCTTCTGATGCTACAGCTCCAGAATGGGCAAGATTTTGACTGATGTTGTTCCTTCCATTAAATTTTCTTCTGCTGACAACACCTAAGCATAGATGGGCATTTATGTTAGCACGGGTGGACACATTTGTCTGCAGTTTTAACAGGACAATAACAAGGTATAACATTTTGTGATATATTATGCACCTGCAGTTCAGACCAAATAGATTCTATTGACCACATAGTTTTAGATTGTCCTGTATTTTCAAATTTAAGTTCAAAGCTAATTCTACTGTTAATTGGCTCCGATCTTCCAGATGAAAAAGCTCCCTGGTAAGAGATGCAGAAAACCGAGTTACTGTACGGGTGGCCAAAAGTTTGGTGGTGGTTATAGTGCAGACATCCTGGAATCCAAAGTCAAATGGGCCTTAGAAAGCATTACTAACAACAAGGCTAGTGGAGGTGATGGTATCCCAACTGAGCAAAGTCTTAAAAGATGATGCTGTTAAAGTGCTGCACTCAATTTGCCAGCAAATTTGAAAAACACAACAGTGGCCACAGGATTGGAAAAGGTCACTATACATTCCAATCCCAAAGAAGGGCAATGCCAAGGAATGTTCAAACTATCGTACAATTGCACTCATTTCACACACTAGCAAGGTCATGCTAAAGATCCTACAAGTTAGGCTTCAGCAGTACGTGGATAGAGAACTGCCAGAAGTACAAGCAGGGTTTCGAAGAGGTAGAGGAACTAGAGATCAAATTGCCAACATTCGCTGGATTATGGAGAAAGCAAGAGAGTACCAGAAAAAGATCTACTTTTGCTTCATTGACTACGCTAAAACCTTTGATTGTGTGGATCACAACAAACTATGGCAGGTCCTTAAAGAGATGGGAGTACCAGACCACCTCACATGTCTCTTGAGAAACCTGTATAAGAGTCAAGAAGCGACAGTTAGAACAGGATATGGAACAACTGATTGGTTTAGCATAGGAAAAGGAGTACAACAAGCATGTATATTGTCACCTTGCTTATTTAATTTATATGCAGAGTACATCACGCGAAATGCCAGCCTGGATGATTCAGAAGCCGGAATTAAGATTGCTGGGAAAAACATCAAAAACCTCAGATATGCAGACGATACCACTCTAATGGCAGAAAGTGAAGAGGACCTCAAGAGCCTCTTGCTCAGGGTAAAAGAGGAGAGCGCAAAAGTGGGCTTGAAGCTCAACATCAAAAAAACTAAGATCATGGCATCCGGCCCCATCACGCCTTGGCAAATAGAAGGGGAAGTCGTGGAAGTAGTGACAGACTTCACGTTCCTGGGATCCCAGATCACCGCAGACTGTGACTGCAGCCATGAAATTAAAAGACGCCTGCTCCTTGGGAGGAAAGCGATGGCGAACCTAAACAGCATGATAAAAAGTAGAGACATCACCCTGCCAACAAAAGTCCACATGGTCAAAGCAATGGTATTCCCAGTAGTCATGTATGGCTGCGAAAGTTGGACTATAAGGAAGGCCGAGCACCCCTACAAAAAAGAAATAGTTGTGGGGGAGAGAATGGATGTGGAGGAACAGTTCTATACCTTCTGTTCTGCTTAAATCTGACCCGGGGCTTGGATTCACAAGTGTTTCCACAGAAGGTTTTCTATTTGGGAAACACCATCCCCCCCACCTGTGGCAGCTCTGAATGGACTGCAACCAGGAGAGGGAGACCAGAAAATTATGCTCTATGGGTGGAGATCCTTCTGTGGATCCAAGCCCAGATATGACCATATTCTGTATCTGACAAGGTCTGCTGCTTTTCACAAAATGTATTTTGCTTCATGCTCAGGGTCTGTGCTCTGGTGTGTACACTGTAGCATCAAGCACTTCCCAGTTAGAGGAAGCAGATGCAGTATTATCTACAAACATAAAGCATTTATAGATGTTTCCAAAAATCTTAACTGAAATTCTTTCTGTTTGGATTTCTGCATTACTTTGTCTTCTTCTGAAATGGAACTGAAGTATTAAGAATCCTCCACTGTACACCCCCCCCCTCATTTTGTACAGTGGCTTCCAGTTCTTTCATGACTTTTTTCTTCCCTGAAATTAATGATTCCGTCCTGTGCATTGCTTGTGCATTGATTAAGCAAAGAAGGAGGAGGAGGAGATTGGATTTATACCCTGCCCTTCACTCGGAGTCTCAGATTCTTTTGAATTATGGTGCTGGAGAAGACTCTTGAGAGTCCCTTGGACTGCAAGGAGATTGAATCAGTCAATCCCAAAAGAAATCAACCCTGACTGTTCCCTGGAAGGCCAGATAATGAAGCTGAAGCTCAAATACTTTGGCCACCAAAGGAGAAGGGAGCACTCACTGAAGAAGACCCTGATGCTGGGAAAGATTGAAGGCCAAAGAAGAAGGGGACGGCAAAGGATAAGATGGTTAGACAGTGTTATCAAGGCAATGAACATGAAATTAAGCAAACTCCGGAGCACGAAGGAAAACAGGAGGGCCTGGCATGATGTGGCCCATGTGGTCGCGAAGAGCCGGACTCGACTGTGCGACTGAACAACATAGTGGAGCATATTTAAAAAGCCACCTGCCTGGTTTGTTTTACCTGATTGGGTGCTCCTGTGCATGACAATGGTGGAAGGAATAGTAACTGGATTGGACTGTTGTTCTCTGCTTCAGAGGTGCTCTTGGCATCTGCAGTCCTCCTGCCCTCCTCCCCACTACTAACCTGAAGAACAGGGCAGGCTCGCTAGTAGAGAGGCTCAGTGCAAGGTTTGGAAATCCATACCTTTCTCTAACTGGAAGGAGGGGGAATAAAAGGAAGGACAGGCCAGAACACAAAATGCACTCATCCATGGCAAGTTTAGTCACAGACCTGAGTCTTACAGTGTTCCATCAAGGCAAGATTTTAGTGTCAGAAACTGGAAACATTTCAGTTCCAGGGCCTGCATTTCACTGCTTTCCAGATTCTCTGATGCACAATAGAAGAGCCCCAAGTTTTCATTTCCTTCCCCATTTGGAATAACTGGTCATGAATGCTAAAACTCACCTCTTATCTACCTGGAACTTGGGGGAAGCAAACATGTTTATTGCTTGTGCTACAAAAACACGGGTGTGCCAGTATCGAGAAAGTGGGCAAACTAAGCATTTGGGCACATTCACCCAGAAAGCAGCTGAGCTAGCATGAAGGCATCCACCCAAAAAAGTTGTTGTTGGGAAGTATGTTAAGGTTGGCTCTGGTCTCCTCCACACCCTCACCAGGTGCAGAAACGTGGCTACACACTGCTAGGAAATGCACATAAGTATCACAACCATGAGGGCAAGACTGCTAGTTCAGATTTACAGTAATCAGCCTCAATTGTTAGAATCAGCTTCAGATGTTTGGAGCCGCCCCTGCATGACTTTTTCAGGCTCAGCAGTAAAACTGCTCTGGCAATCACATGCCACACATTAAATAATAACACCCGATCCCAGATTTAAACAATCCAGAATAAGTATGCTTTCTAGTTCCAGTGGTAATGTAGACTAAACATTTATTTCACATACATACACCCTGAAAACTCAAAACCACTTTGGAGCAATATTCCCTCTAAGGTGTGGAGTCTTGTGAGCAAAAATTCTACATTGTGAGCTACAGGCATTAAAGTTGCGAGCGAGCGATTTGGCAGCTGCATAAATGAGTCTGCTCTGGAGCCCTCCTTCCTGAGCTAAGACAAAAATGTGTGAGCTGGAGGCTAAAAAACTGTGAGCTAGCTCACACTAACTCAGCTTAGAGGGAACGCTGCTTTGGAGTTAAGGTAGCAATCCTACACATTGCTGTCAGGAATCAAACTTCATGGCGCTTATTGTAGAGTAAACATGCATTTGAGCAGAAATGGCATACACAGTAGTCAGTACCTCTTGAGCTTATGGCTTTCTGGTCCCACTGTTTACAGCATTCTCTTTATATGTACGTGGGTAAACGGAGGGTAATGAATCTGACAAATAAGGCTCTAGTGAAATAATGATAAAGCCTCAATACAGCTGCAAGTATTTCAGGTGCTACAACTGTTACTCTCTGAAGATTAGATATGAACAACCTACTGGGGGGGCACCCTACCTCCAATACTGGAGGGCAGCAGCGGCTGCTGGACGATGCGGTGAATCAATGAGCGGCGAGCCGGCAAAAGAGAGAACGTGACAACGGATCGGCGGCAGACGGCAGGCGACTCGGGAGGCGATTGGAGGCGGCGTGGAGGCATGGTGACGTAAGCACGGTCGGAGCCTCCGGGACAGAGACCAGTTGCGACCTCATCGTGCAGCCGCGCGCCATAAAAAGGACCATCCCAGGAAGCCAAAGAGACGGAAAAGATCTCCACCAAAGGACACTACTGCCTGGTCCTAGCAAGACCCCGTCACAGAAAG